ATATATATGTTTTTTTTGGGGGGGGGTTGTTTTTTGAGGGACAAAGTTTGTTTTTGTCAATTGTATTTATTAAATCAAGGTACTAAAATTACTCGAGGACTTGTTTCACCTATACTCCCATGCATTCTTCTGGACAGCATGTTGAAAAGTAAATAAATGACGATTGACAATAAATGACTATTTATTATTTTAAGCAGATTGAGGTGGATGAAAAAGAGGCGTTTGCTGAAAGATCCAAGAGAGCTAAAAAAGCATTCCCGCAAAGGCCAAGTGGAGTTTGAATCACAGGAGTTCATTTAGGTACTCGTCATTTCGCATTCTCTGGGGCGCATGACACTTGATATCAGGTAGGCTGATACCGTTGCCAACTCCCTCCAGCACTGAGCCGGAACGAGAAGTATTTGACAAACACTCGCAGAGGTTAGATGTTTGCCACTTAAAAATGCCCAAGAACGACATAAGACGTCACGTGACTTTATTATGGATTTAAGACCTCACTTAATCTTTTTAAATTGTGTTTTAACTGCTTATGTTTGCTCAGTGAAGTGTATAATTTGAACTTGTTTTTTTTTCTTTCCTAACCAGGCAAGTAAAACACGGTGTGCCGGCTGTACTACCTTGCAGTGTTCACTCAAATAACCAGGTCCATACCATCAGGCTGAACCCTCATGTCAGCATTTGTACTGTGTCAATAGAATCACCAATGAAACAAGATGGCATGCACTCACAGCTCTTCAAGGTAAGGGAAGTTCTTGAAAACATTTGCTGGAAGCTCAGTGATGTTGTTCATGCTCAGATCTCTGCGGAAAAGAAATAAAAACAAGATTAGTTTACAATTTTGTCGACTGTAGACACAAAATGCATTGACATGGCTCACCCATGTTGAAAATACACGGAAAACAACTTTACGGTTTGAAGGTCTCTCGAGGTCAGAGAGGGATGGTTCTTAATAAAGAAAACATTTTGATATGCATTGCATCCTATCAATTTGTATATCTCAATGACCCTCTAACATTTCCTATTCAGTTAGATGCTCCTGACTGAAAAGTCGGGAGGGTCAGGAACTTTTGTTTAGATCATATGCTGCACAAGCAAAAACATTGGCAACAAATATTTAGGAGGCATCCATAAAGGAAGATGTGTATGTGTGTATGTGTGTTTGTGTGTGTGTGCGTGCGTGCGTATAAAAAAGAAGGTATTAAAAAAAAACAGGTACAGGAGCCACAGACTTTGGTTGGAATGGCGTCAGTCAGGAAACTACTGTCACTGGGTTGAGACCCTCAAAAATATTTTCAGCAATGGTGTAGACTAGAGAGATTACTAAACACAAATCAAATCAGGCATCGTTAAATACAAATCTTAAAGGGTTGCTAACAAATTTTCCAATGAGTTAAAGGTCCATTTATTTACTTTGGTCAGGCCACATGCAAAATGACAGTGTATCGCAATTGAGCCAAGAGAGGCCATTTTATTTCAAAGGAAGGAAGGAAAATAAATAACTTATTTAATACATACATACATACATACATACATACATACATGCATACATACATACACACATACACTGAACATAAAAATGCAAATCTTCGCAAGTATGTGCGCACATGTACACCTGTTGTCGATAGAAAGTGTGACTTAACTTTGATGAAACAGCCACCTTGGTACGAGCCGCCCCAGTGCAAAATTTGATGGAAGATTCTATTTTGCAAAGGAGGTTTCAAGAGGGTCAACTCGGTGGATGACTAGTTAGCACGTCCGCCACACTACAGAGGCTTGGGGTTCGAAACCAGACTCTGGCCTTCCTGTGTGGAGTTTGTATGTTATCCCTTCGGGGGTTTTCTCCGGGGACTCTGGTTTCATCCCGCATCCCAAAAATATGCATGTAGGCTAATGGAACACTCTAAATTGTCCCTGTGTGTGAGTGTGAATGGTTGTTTGTGTATGTGCTCCCTGCGATTGGCTGGGAACCAATTCACAGTGTACCATGCCATGACAAAGGCGAGCATGGATGTGGAGTAAGATTGGGCGATTATGGTAAAGATAAAATTCACATTTATATTGATTGATATTGAAATCACAATAAATAAAAACAATTTAGGCATTGGCCAATTTACGGTTTGACAGCTCACCGTGGTTTTGATAAGTCAAGGTTTCAATAAGTGCTGATACTAGCTGTCACTGGTAATGAGCCATTCTCTTTTTTGAGAAAACGTCCAAGCAGGACACAATTTCATTGGCTGATTGCAGAGTTGAGTGAACGTTCCGCTTCTGAGGTGAATGGGTCACGATCAACACGGATGCTACTTTTGTCTGTGGCTTGGGCCTTCAAAATAAAAATGGAATAGTGCCAGCGGGGAGAACATGAGTAGCCCACAGGGATGTTCTAAAAATAGTTCACTGGTGATTGGATATTGCAACTTACGAAAAAGAGTCAAAACAGAAGAAGAATGTTAAAATGTATTTATTTATTTAAACTTAGCATGGGACATGTTTCTTTTGTCCCAAATATTCTCTTTTGTTTAAAAATAAAATGGATGGTGCTCAATGGGGAGAAAGAAATGCTGTTTGTATTTCCCCCAAAACTGGTCATTTTAGAGCTATATTTTTAATACCATAATACTGTGATATTTTTTTCGCATGATTATTATGTCAGCCCAGGCCTAAAACAATTACTCACGGATTTCAAAACTTAATATTTAAATCATACCATCATGCCCAATCATCCCTGCCTGTTGACTACAAGTACAAAATAACCAAGCAAATAATGTGAAATTCAAGCCACTTGCATTTTCATTCTGCTACATCCACACTTTTGCTGCATTGCATTTTTGCACACATTCAAAGCATGAATAAGCATTTCCCTTACATAATTATCATATAGACTTGACCTTACTCTGTTTTTTTTTCTACTATTCATGTTCATAAGTCTTGAAACTTATTGGGCTAACTTAGCACCTTGGGTCTCATTTTCCTCGTTTTCGAACAAAAGGTTCGCAAATGACTTGACTCTAGAATATGTGCCTTTGAGTATTGTTACATTATCTGTCTCTATGTGTTCCGCCAGTGTTTGAATGTGAATATTAGCGATTTGAGATTGATGCTAATTTACAGTGAATGGGATTTTACATTGACTTCAGCATTGGAACTGGCAATGTTTTTAAAGCAAAGCGAGTCTTGAATGTGTGTTAATTCTTTTTGACATTTAGTTCGACAGTAAACTCCAACTGGGGTGTCAAAGAGCTTAAAGCACACTCAAGGAGGGCAAAATCACATGCATGGAACACATTTGCCGCACAAGCAACACAGTCCATTCAGGATACTTGCGCAATGTCAGGAACTTGCAAGCACACCATGATTCTTCCCATAATATCGTTAATAAGATCGTGAGAAGTCCAAATCATGATTACAGTTCGATTAATTACCAGTAAACAACACTGCATATTAACATGACATTATACAATTACAGTGTGTATTGCTTGAAAACTAGTTTTGCTTTCAGATATTTTGAATGGTCCTCTGGATAGTAGTATTTTATCTTTCATCTATTTGATATTTTTTGTCATTTTGAATATGTTAAAAAAATGATCATCAGTAATGGCTGAAAAAATCTTTTTCACTGATTTTTCAGCCATAATTTGCAGCCTTGTTTTCCAACTTCATTGTGTCATGCTCAACAGTTTGGCATTAAATCTTCTCATTTTGAACTCACAGTATTTTCAACAAATAATAAAACTCAGGGAGTGAATACTTTTATTTTGCACTTTTGTTTATTACAAAGAAATCCTGAATTGAGAGTTATTTATCTTTTATCTTAGACTTTAACTCTCTATTGCAGAGTGAATGTTCTGTCTTTTGTCAGAATTAAATTAAATTACTTGTCATTGATTTAACTGACATTTCACATGTCAAAACTATTAGCAGTATCGGTGTCGTGGCATCGGTATCAGTGAGTAATCAAGCGAAAGGACATGTACTGGTATCGGTCTGACAAAAGTGGTTTCAAACACCCCGATACTCGGTCTATATTATACATTCGCTTGTCCAAGAAATTAAGTTTCTTTGTTTTTTTTTTTTGTTTTTTTTAGGACAATGGTATAAATTCATTCACAACATACTTTGACGTACAGTCTTGGAAGTGTATACAATGACAAGTGTCATGTTAACATAAGAATATATCATTCATTCATTCATTCATTTTCCGATCCGCTTATCCTCACAAGGGTCATGGGGGCGGGGGGGCCCACACAGGCCCGAGGAGAACATGCAAACTTCACACGGGGAGGCCGGCGCTGGAATTGAACCCGGCACCTCTGCACTGTGAGGTCGACACGCTAACCACTGGACCACCGGGCCGCCCATAAGTATACAGTATACTTAACTGTAAATAAGTAAGAAATCACACAAAGTGAAGATTACAACAAAAATGCAAACAAATCTGTGGCTTTACCAGTTCCACATATCAACTTTTCATTTTCACAATACGAGATAAAAACAACGTGGACCGCAAAAACATGGACTTGACTCAAGGTTTCATGAGATGGAAATCCACCGAAAATCACAAGCACCTTGCACAGCAGGGTTTAATAACAGCATTGACATCCGTTCCGCTCCCGGTAACCAGTCAAATTGCAGCCTTTGCAATTAGCAAATCACTTTTTAATCATACCTCAGTTAAATTGCAAACGCAATTAATCGTTCAGCTGCCGTTGCTGATTTTCCCCGAGTTCCGGTTTGCAGTAATTATATTAGACTTGAAACTTTTTCAGTCTAAAGCCACCCTAAATGTTGCCCATCTTTGTGTATTCCTCGAACAAAGTCCCCACTGACGGAGTCTTTCCGCAATAAATGTCAGCGTGGTAAACAGTGGCTGAACATTGTAAATTATTTATGTTGGTGTTTGTTGTTTAATTTTTCTTTCGTTATGTAATGATACAAATCCGACTTATTTCTTTATATTGTGCAGAATAATTTGGAACACTTGACTCTCCGGAATTTTACAGAACCACTGTTGACATCATGTAAGTTTTGTGCAAAAAAAAAAAAAAAAAGAAAATAATAATAATAATTTATATATGTAATATTTTTTTTCACACTGTAAATCACATTAACCATTTAAGAAAAGGAACACAAACAGCACCTGAGCAATAATTTAGAACTATGTAGAAATGATTATTTCTGCCGAACTAAAAACATGGTCAAATGCTTTTCAAAGTCTCTCCTTTTTTTTTTTTTTTTTTTTTTTTTTTTTTTGCTTTTTAATGAGGGAAATAACAAAAGAGATTTTTTAAAAAGTTTTTGACTTCACTTCAGCCCCAGGGATGCTCATTTTTCAATCCACCTTCAAGATAAACATGTAGCAGCATGACAAATATGCACTCAGGACTTGATTTGCTTCCACACAAAAGCTAATATCAGGACATGTGTTAAAGGATCACAGATGCATGCAAGAGATCAAACAAACAAAAAAACTAACAACAAAGTGCCATATTTTCACATCCAAAAACAGACACTACTGTGATGGCAAAAATGATAAATTTGACGAGGGATCCACAAAGATGCTTTCCAGACAAAAGTCACCAATCAAAGCATCAATTTTGAAGAACATCACAAATTTTGAAGTAAAGCGGCATCCTGCACCCTTCCTTCATTTTCACTCTCAAATTAGTCATCTTGAATTTCATTGCCAGATCTCTCTCGGACCTCTGTGGGCCTCTGAAATGCAACAAGGATCAGATTGCCCTTCCTCTGCATTTCCAACTACACTCCCCGACACACACACACACACACACACACACACACACACACACACACACACACACACACACACACACACACACACACGGCAGCATTACATGGTGGCTCCATGCCAGAACGCTCAACGTCCCTACAAATCCATGTCCCGTCGACAATTACCCAGTTTTCCAGTTACTGGATAGACAACAGCCTGATTGTTATTGCTATTCCCTACACAAGTAATGCAACCGTTACTGTGGATCTGCCACCACTTGGAATCGTCCAAACACATTCCTGAGCAAGCAGTATGTGCCGCGATTTAATCTACCAATTTTTGTAATCACACAGAGAAACGTAGCATATGGGAGTGCTGCATGATGATCCCTCTCCCTCACTTTCTGGCTGCTTTACTCATCAAGGTCCCTGGCCTGTGCTGTCCTGTCCCTGCTAAGATAGATGGAAGAGGACACTCAAAATGCAGCTGCGATAAATGATGAATTGTTTAAATGGTTTTACAACCTGGTATTGCTAAATATCAATCCCATGTGCTGTTTATTCACGTAGAGAGAAAGCCGAAAAGCTGAAACAATTGGCAGACTTGTTTTGAGAAAAGCAAAATCTTTATTAGTTCAATGGTTAAAAAAAAAAACACAATTCCCCAACAGAAAAAGAGCCAGACGGACTAAAAAGATGGACTAAAATTGTAAATTTGTTGACCACATGTATTCACATGCATTTTGTCAAGATCTCGACACAGATGGGGGAACACACAAAGGCTAAGTAGGGTATGCAAGCTAAAGGACAGCGAAACTAATGAGACACGACATGCAATCAGCCCAACAGAAATGAATTTTCTCATCACTGTCACTTTTTAAATCGAAAAACGTTTCCACGCGTCGATATTATTGTGGCAGTTGAGAGAAACCGCATATCCATCATGCAAATTCAAATCGGCCTACATTTGTATTATGCATGTGAACATTCCAGCCATCATGAATGTGCTGCTGCAACAATGAAGTGTCATAAATCACTTGCTTTTTCAATGACCAACCTGTAACCAGCTGTTAAAATACGGCAAAAACCTCAACCCTAACCTCTCACTATCAGCCACTGTTGAACAGATACAACCAAACGTCAACCTACAATTTTGTGGTCAAAGTCAAAACAAAACAGAAATAGCCCGGCACAAGGAGAAACTGCCTAAGACGGTAGTAAAAGATGATACATGAAAAGTGTTCGGAAGTTAAAGGGTGTAAATAGCGCTAATATTTTCCTTTCAGAAGTCCTGCTGTTTTAACTGACTGACTTTTTTTTCACCTCTGCTGACCAAGAACAAGGCGATCATTCATTTCAAAACGTACAGCGGCAATGCAGGCAGGCTGCATGGGCTTCACTATAGGACCACTGATACCCGGCCGCCACCCGTTCCACAATCTCCACCTTGGTCAGGCAAAAGTAAGACAAAACAGACTGAGGTAGAAGTATTTACGCTTGCCTTTGAAACTTCAGAATGCAGAAGAGTTGATAGAAACGCAGTAAACTATGACGGAGTAATTTGGGTCCATCAAATTCAAACAAATTAATAAATATTAAATATTATATTCACTTTTTTTCTTACCTCGAGAAACAGTTCATTTGGTTTTTGGAGTCATTTGGATGTGTCAATGAAGCTCCTAAAATACTTATAACACATCGCCAAAGTAAAGACCAATTTCAAAATAAAAGCTCAGTTGGCCCACAACATGGCATGACGAGGAGCTTGACTTGCCTGTTCACCATTTCGGCTTGCCTACCCCCCCCCCCCCCCCCCCCCCCCCCCCCCACACGTTGAGCATACATTTACTGCAGAGACTGCAGGGTCTCGCTGCAGTCGGGCATCTCGTTAAAAATGAATCTCCAACTAATTTAAGTGTATAGAATGTTCATCGGTGTTTTGGGGAGAATTTTTAGGTTTTAATTGCTATTATTTTTCCCCAATGCATTTCAACGATCGTCAAATATGTGCAAATTGTGTCTATTTGTGGGCCAAACTGGCCCCATTCCCAGCAAATAGCGGGAGTTGACAATACAGTAAATAACCAAAAAACAGTCCCTACAGTGTTAAAACATCTATGCATGATCTGATAACCACTTCCTGAAGAATATTCGATTCTCTGCACAGTAATGCTGCACTTTCATCCCCGGAATCATTTTCAAAAGGACATGCCATGTTTGTCTCCACCTAATGTGCCCATTAGACCTCTTGTATACTGACTGTGATTTTTTATTTTATTTTTTTTATTCATGACAGACAGCAGTGTTAGGCTACGCCAAAACTCGTCTGGTGACTGAATGAATGAGGAAATGAAATAGAGCGTGTGGTTCTGAAAGAGGGTCGAGACAGAGAGAACCTTGAGGTTCATTGAGAAAACCTTGTTCCCGACCAGGTTAGGTTCAAAGACTCTGTTACTGCGGTAACAGACCGAGAGCTTAAGTTACTTCTCTCGCTGAAAAAGGCTAGAGTTAGCCCTCTTTCTCCGGTTTAAAATTACCTCCCTTTTTGAAACAGAAAAATCAGTTTGCCTAAATTTAGGGTTAACCGATTCGGAGTTATTACTAAACCTGTTTTGTGAAACGGACCTCAGAGGTGACGACTTTGGGGTTTGTACAATAGCTAGGACACTGAGTAACACATAATTTAAATACCTATTCACTCACAGTCAAAATGTAAAACAGTTCACAACATACCGTACATATTTGCTGCAAACAACTTTCAATAATTTCAGCACACTTGTGCTTTAGGACCTGTTCCTGCGCAGAGTGCACACGTTCCATTCTTTGTCTCAGTGTGCTAAACACCTCAATATGTCGATACTTGGAATTATTTAAAATTTAGGTGAAGCGTATCTGGCAAACAGGAGGCATGAAAACCACATTTCAAATTGCTCTTCCTGCTGAGAATTGTTCTGAGATCATTTCCAGGCTACTCATTGGACAGCAACCAAAATAATTTTCTTGTTTACTGAGCCACTGTGCTGGTGTGGTGTTTTACTGAGGACCAATGAAAATCGATGACACCATGATGCCGATTATGATCCGACTCTATCTGACGGTTACTATTCATGCCCACATCAAGTTGCATGACAAGTTAATCATTTACAGAGTTGAATTCTAGTGGCAGCAGACCATGAAATCAGCTAAATAAAATGTCAGTCTCTTGGGCTGAGAGGCAATTCACGTTGTGAGAGCTGAATACAGCCACTTTTCATAACGCATAATCTCCCCTTTTCAGTACATGACCACTTACACCACTAAGACGTAAAAACTGCCAGTTGGTGTTATGTGGGCTCACGGTGGACAAGTGGATAACTCAGAAATATGGCATAACCACAGCCACAAAATTGATGCAGTCACAGGATAAGATACAATCTGTGCACATGCACTATTCATGCACAAGGCTGAGAAAATCATTTGACACGTTCTGACTGTCTACCTGAAGTGAATTGTTTGAATCTGTTAAATGCTTGTGTGCAAAAGCAAACCTTTCACAAAGGCAAAAAGCGTCAAGTGTGAACCGCTCCCGAGACGAGGAAATATATCTGCGATGAGCACAATCAGAGATGACAAAAAACATGCAATTTAACCTTCACATATGGAGCAAATGATTGTTAGAGGCATTAGCCCAGAGACAAAGAGCTCTTGCAGCTGCAATATGTCTCACTAATCCATCACGATCCCCAAACCCCAGCACTCCACATACAAAAGGCAGAGGGAGTGGTAGAGGACAACCAAAGTTCAAGACACTGGGAGAACAAATGAGGAAAGACAGCGAGTGGGAACAAACAACCTTTCACGGTGCAAAAAGAGTTTTGACTGCACATTGAAGTAGCTTGCTGTCACATCGACCAACGTGTGGTGAAATAGCCATGTGTATGCACATAAGAAGTTCACATCAGCCTGCAAACAACATCAGCAAGACAAAACAAACAGCTGAGTGCTTGCCAACACGGTGATACCACGTCAAAACTGTGCTTCGTGGTAAGATTGCAAAGCAGTAATACACAGGAGCCTTTTCAAAAAGCAAAAACTATGGAAAGGAGCTTGGTCTCTCAAGAGTACGCCTAGTGTAACATCATGTCTTGATGGACTCGTATATAACTTCACTTCCTCTGTTTACTTATTCTGAAAACATTCCTAACAATGGCGACTTCAATTAGCCTAGTGTTGGTTCTGCTGAAGAGGAACAAAAGCTGCATTTCTTTCTTTTTCAGATTCTGAAGGGAACAAAAATAGAAATGATTGCATCAAAATAATGGACCCTGCATTATTGGATTTTTTTTTTTTCCTGGAATCAGTGGTGATGAATTTGTGGCCGGTTAGTTTATTAGTTCCATTCTTGATGCCGCAATACAAATGAAGTGTTCTCAATGCACGTCCCAAGGTAGTTAAACAAGTTAATGAATAACACCAAGAAGTTGTGAAACAAACTGGAAAGCTTCCTTCTTGGAGCAATCATGAATAGTATCCTTAGTGTTGTGTAAAACAGACCTGCCCGTTGTGCTGCTTACAAACATGAGTTGTCTCATTGGAGTGTCCCGATCTGATATGGACTTCGGATATTGGTACAATATCAGCCCAAAAAAATCAGCATTGGGTCATATCGCTCTACATCCAAAATCCTTGATGTTAGCACTCACAAACAAGCAGTCCGTTACAGACTCCGTTCCCACATATAACGAATGTATAAAAATGATTCCGAATGCACTGAAGTAAACTTGAATTGCTATTTTGCACTTCAAAGAGTATAATTTATTTTCATTTCTTTCATTAGGGTTATTTCTCAGGGCATTTTAATTTAATTTGTATGTATTTTATTCAAGTGCAGTACATTCTTTGAAGTTGAATTCATGCAATCCAAATGTTTGAAATAAATTGGTCATTATTTTCATCATACCTGCTGTTGCTGACTATTGTTCTTTGAATAGCATCACTTGATCAAGTCTCTTCTAGCTCTCTCATACTAAAACATAAATTAAAGCAGGTAACATTCCTGCTGATAAATCGGGTTTATATTGGTATCGGACAGTACTCTAGGCTGCAATATATAGATAAGTGAAAAAGTGTTATCGGGACACCCCTAATGTCTATCAAGTTACAAGCGATTAAGTTTGAACATGTCTGGTGGTGCGCGTGTAAGATGGACACAAACTTCAATTATGGTTATTAAATCCCATTACTAATTTTAACGTGATTATTTTGCACACGTAGCACATTGAAACAAGGCAGTGCTGAATACTGCACTTGCTGAATTAGATCAACAAACACAGAAATTAAACCAAACCTTTACGCTGTGACTACAAATACCATTGTCAGTTGAAGAATTGATCACGTTATTTCCTGAAAATACCCCAATCTGAAACATTTTCACACACTGTTTGGTTGCGTTCGACTGCACTGCATCTGAGAGACCTGTTTCTTCCATTTCAACTATCTTGACAGGTAATAAGTTAACCAAAATATTAACAGCACCTCTCAGTGTGTTGCAGTGCTGTTCGACGTGTATACCACACTAATATATGTAGAATAATTAACACTATTGATTATATTTGAATATGTATTAGTAAATATGCGTGAACAAATTACATTAGCACGTGCAAGTGTACCCAATATTGCTGGAGCATTTTCTAATACTGTACTATGTGACACTTCACACACCTCCCATGAAATTATTCCTTTACAACCATCCATGAGCTCAATCAGTGCAAAACGAGTCTGCAAAATGACGTCCTCGGAGTTGCTGTTGCAATAGAAAGTTGCCAGTTCACCAACTTGCCTTAGTGAACCCTGAAGATATGAAATAGTCCATACACAACCACAAACACCATCAATGGAGTTTTCTGGCAATTGTATCCTAAAGTGTTGCGCCGAGTCAGTGCTCGCGCTTGTCATACGTGTTTGGGTGATGAATTTCGGTGTTGACTTGAGCGAAAACTCACAGGTAGTAGGTGAAAGCGCTGAGGTCAGACGGGACGGTGGTCAGTCCTCTCCCGGAACAGTCGGCACCTCCATCTTCATCGCAGCTGCATGAGAGGGAACAAACAGCCGGAGTCGACTGTCCTTGGCCGGTGGCTCCGGGACGAAGGAAGCACCATAAACACATCCAGAACAGACCCAAAGGCATTTCCCCCCGTGTAGATTCAGGTGACTCCAATAATAATAAATAAATAAATAAACGGGGGGGAAAAACAGGGGGGCCTTTGTTTGTAGTCTTATCGACGCCGACCTCTCATGTGGTGGTTCGGCATGAAGAGAGGAAGCCTGATCGAAGTTAAGCGTTCGCGCGCTTTGAACAAAAACAAAAATGCACGGTAAACGTGTAGATACTGCTAAAAAACTAACATGGTCCCCGAAGACGTGCGACACTCCTTGCGGAGAGACAATTCATACACTGACTGTGCGTCGCATTAGTCTACGAAGATAAAGTTGTAGTGCTGGCGACAGCCGCGGTAACCTACCTTGTCGCCCCATTAAATAACCACAAAACGAGTGGCGCTTACTCGTGCCAAAAGCGAAAAGCCTCTTTCAAGTGTTTCTGGAAGCTTCAGTTGAGCGACGCAAACAATCATTTGCCGCCCTGCTTTGTTTTGCACCGCTCACCGCCGATTCCCTCCCTCACGCTCCGGAATCCTGATATGAACAGCATGCGTGAAGCTCTGCAGGCACCCTGTCGGACAACCTGAAGGACTGGGCCCTGACTGTCTGTCTCTGTCTGTCTGTCTGCCTGCTTGGCTGCCTGGCTGCTTTCTTGCTTGCTTACTTTTTGCTTGTGTGACAGTTAAACCTGCACTATATCCTTGCACACTCCTTTCAGACAGCTTCAATCACAACCCGCTGCAAGTTCACGATTAGAAACCACTAAATTACTATCCACAAATCAGGCTGACTGAAACGGTGGTATACTGTACAACAATTCATGTAAAAAAAAAAAAAAATGTAATCTCTCCATCGCCACTCATAAGGTCATCATCCACGAAATCCAAAATATTGGGGAGATCGTTCTAATAATTTCAGACGTTTTGCTGCATTCATTGCTCGTACTTTTATGATGTTGAGAAGTTAAGATTTTGTCTATAGTGAAGCATATATGGAGAGCAGCGTACATTCAATCAAAAACCTTGAGGCAATCGTTCTGATATTTTCAGACGCTGAAGTGGGCATAAATGGGGATCTTAACCTACATTTTGTTCACGGTTGATCGCCGTTCTCTGGCAGTTAAGTGTTGTTATGCTATTTTTACAATAATTACAAGTTGTGTTGCATGGTATTTAATGAAAATGTCTGCCCTGGGATCTCGCTACATCGCTAGGCGCAGGACTAACATACATCGATGCCAGCCACACATCGACACATATTTTTTGTGATTGAACGATTGAATCAATATCATTGACAGTGCCCTTTTATTTTTGTTGTTCATGTTTTTGGAATGTGGGAGGAAACTTGTCCCCCGATCAACCCCACGGAGGGAAGAATATTCAAACTCTGCACTCTAAGGTGGACGTGCGAACCAGTCGACCATCGTACCGCCCTCAAGGAGCACAGTTTTGTGCAACGAATTAAACTGAAGACTGCAGGACTTCGAGTAACATTTAGGAATACCTACCATTTCACCAGCGTTTTGGCTTCAAAAGTTTGTCTTCTTGTTCTTTTGTTACCATGTCATTCAATTGTGGTGACACAGTCTGAATACTGGTTGGCACCCATACAATGATGTTCATTACTGTCTTGGACAGAATGAGGAAACTCAAGAAGAAGAAATCATGATGTCATGTCAAATACCGTAGTGCTGTGTGCGAAACACTGAACGTCCGGAACAGGCCCAGATTGTGACCTCAGTTCATTGTGAATCTCTGTGGCGATCGAAGGCTTTTACCTGCACTGAGCGGCGACGAAGTTAGATGCCAATGCTAATGTGAACTCTGTTCTCATGATCCACTTCGATCAGCAAGATATTAGCTTGTTACAAATGTGCGAGCACTTCAATTGTCATAACTAGCAGCCCAGCTCACAGACATAGGTGTCAACCATCAAAAGCAACACGTCTGTTGAAAAGAGGCCATCAATGGCTCATTTCACAACTGATTTTCATGACGCTTTTATGTCAATGCCAAAACGTGTGCTGTCAAGACAGAAAATGCATCCTGGATTTTTTTTTTTTTTTTTTTTTTTAATTTGTGACATTCACAGACATGGAATGGGACAACACTTGGGCTGTACAAGTTGTAACGTCACCATTGGCACGGGCATGTCATATCTCCCTGTTTTGCATAGCTATGGTTCTCAGAAT